CAGTCACATTACTTGACAGACACATTATTTTGTTTCAGGTCCAATGGGTCCACCAGGGGTTGGAAAACCAGGTCACCCAGGTAAGCCAGGCCCACCTGGTCACAACGGCGAGGAGGGGAAGAGGGGGCACCCCGGCGAGCCCGGTCAGCCAGGCGTGTGCCATCCTTCCATGTGCTACGGCGCAATGTTGCGAAGAGATCCTTTCAGTAAAGGGCCAAACTATTGACACAGCTTTGGCTGAAATGCAGACAGTCTGGTGCGGTGCTGCTCAGTGAATGAAAGAAAACAATAACAGCGACTCTTTCCAATCTCAGGATGATCATATTTTTCAAGAGTGTCTCACACTCATGGACACATGAAGTACCTCTTAAAATGTAAATAATATGATTTTGCTTACATTAACACCACCGATTGTCCATGACTCTATGTCTTTCTGTGTCACAAGCTGAGATGTGCCCATGATTTATTCACGCTGTTTGTCATGAGGCATGAAACGCACCAGCCTAATACTTGTGAAAAGCATCCTGTGTGAGGAGCTCTGCAACACTCGCAGTGGAAATTCTACCTAGACATCGACTTTCTTCCTCACTCTCTTGCTCCCCCAAGTGGCAATCAACCATCACCAGCCAATCATCTCGTTGTATTTATGAAGGTAGATTTACTGTCCATTTTGCATTTGTGTTTCTTTTTGGTCTGATGTTTCTTTTACTGCTTGCAAGCTTTTCATGGGAGGAGTGGGAGTTCTTCTGCAATGCTTCATGCTTTCTTTCCTATATTGACATCTCTCCGATATCTATAATAATTCTTGTCCCTTTAGGTAGTGCTTACTAGGGTTCCCACATCTTTTGACCAATGAATTTCCATGATTTTTTTTCAGGCATTTGTGATTACAGGAAACATTAAAAAAACAATCTTAAAATTTTAAATTATATCCTGTAATATTTTAGAGAACAAAATATATATACATATATTCAGTATAGAAATGTGTAAGATTTTATTCATATCCACGCCTTTACCAGGCCTGGGGTCACAATTTATAATGTTCTGATATTTCAGGTTTTCCATAGTCGTGGGAACTCTTTATTACACTTCAGATTACAAATGTGAGTGTGATTAGATAATATCTATATTAAATGTTTAAAAATGGTAAATTGAACACATTTATCATATACATTTTAATCCACCTTTCTCTACAGCAAATTGTCATGAAAGACAATTCTGAAAGCATTTTTTGTTTTTTTTACCCTTGGTTTATAAAGGGTGTGTAGTAGAGTGTAATAAAACTCACTTTCCCATAAATGTATAATTTTTTGTTATTTATAAGAACTGATATCACTTACCGCTTTTCCTGTGAAAGCGCTTTCTTATATTTTGCAGTGATTTTTTTTTAACTTCCATGTGTTTGAATGACTTTTGATAACATTAATTAAAAACTTTTTTTAATTATTTTTTGTTGCTGTTGTTGCTTCATGTTTTGTAACAAAAATATGACTTATGTGGGAAATGTATACTATAGTTTCCAGCATGCGATTTGCAGCAATCTTGCAATGTTCCACAACAATGTCATACATTAATAGTGGTCTGAGGCACATCCTGTGATAAATGATTTATTTACGTAGTTTAGGTAACAGGTGATCCAAACAAATTATTCCAATTGAGTATTACTGATTAAAAAGAGATTATGGTGAAATAGGTAACATGGCAGGATGATACCGCAGAAATTAACCATTAAAGATAAAATGCTACTAAAAACTTTTACTGTTAAAAATGCTGCTCTCCTGCAATTGCAGTTCCACTCCTAGATGTCACTGTTACTCTTTTCTTACATTTTGGATGTTTCCTACTAAGACTTGCCTTTTAGGTTTTCATTGGAGATAACCTAAAATGCTTCACTTTCATGTATTCAAGTGCCCTCACAGGGCTGACATACATTGGATTTTTACACTACAAGTCAAATGTTTGGACACACTCATTCTTTTTCACATTTTAGACAGTAAGTAGTCAAGTTTAGTTTAACACAGATTACGTCTAAACACAGACTGAAGTATGAAGTATGATATATATATATATATATATATATATATATAGTAAAAAATATAGCCTAGAATTTAGTATTGCATACTGTAGGTATTACATCCAGCCCAGCATCTATCCATATTAAGTTTGCAAACCTCACAATTGCAGATTTTTGCCACTGTAGAAGTTGAAATAATAATAACAGAAGTTTTGTCACAATATTACAGATTTAGTGCTTCACCAAGTTTATAAATTGTTAAATTATAGCCTATTGAATTTAGTAGACACACAGGAGTCTAGAAGGGCTGAACAAGCTTACATGGTTTGTTTAACAAAAGCAAAAGAAATAAAAAGAATATATATATATATATATTTAGATGATGTCAATTTTCTGGTTATTGAAGTGAAAACATCTCATTGGGGGGAAAAAAATGCTAGTTTCAATTAATGTAAGTACATTGTTTAGCAATGCTATGAAAATTCCATGGATAGCCTGTTTCACTTTGAGGCCGTTTGATCATGTCGTGCACTTTAATGATTATACATTTCTATTAGACTATTTTTTGCAAGTTTGTCTGCTAATAATAATTATTATTAAACAGTTTTATACTATTGCTAGGTCCTTGCAAACGTCTGTGCCTAAGTAATTCATATTTATGCCATAGATCATTTATTTGATTTCAAATACAGTGCCTTCTTTTGAATCCAGGGTTAAAATAGCAGGTGATTTATTTGATTTTTTTTCATATTACTGGAATATAGTCCTCCACATTTACGCTGTCCTTGAAAACTCTATAAACGGTGTATATATAGGACTGTATGGTTACTGGAAACTCCGAGGCAATTGCAGGTTAGAGAGAAAATAAAAATGTGGCTATAAAGAATGCCATTATAGCAGAATATACTTCTTAGAAAGCATACATGCACATACCGTAGCGAAGTGAGTAGAAGCAAATCATGAAGGACGTGTACATGCAGGGTTTGTTAATATCCTGTCGTTAGTAATAAATGCTTTTTGCCGTTATTTGAAGAATGCTGCGATAAGACGATAAGTGTACACTGAACTGTATACAACTTCAGTGGCTGACCTCTCACCTCACAGTTCATGTAAACTTATCAAGTGACTGTCTGACCTGAGGATAATTTGCCTTAATTACTTCCTGTTGTTAAGCAGAGGAAAGAGCTTAAAGAAAGTCTGCTTTTGGTCTAAATCTGGTAATCTGGTGCCAGTAGCTAGCCTTTTTTTCTTTCTTTGCTAATCTAATTTATGCTTTAGACGCTGATTTAGCCGTATTTTTGCTTGTTTTTCCATTAAAGGACATGACTTTAAAGGTCACTGCTTTGTTTATGGAGAGGATCAAATCCTACACCCAGATGAATCACAAAAATCTTGTATGGATTTGTTGTTTTTATGGAATTGTCTGAAAAATACAAAAGGGAGTTCAGTAAAAACACAGTTTGGGCCTCAGATATGGCAGAATAAATAAACGTGTGTGTTAAGGTAGAGTCCCCCATCATCACCTTAAATGCGCTCCATGTGTTTTCACTCAGGAGAATGAGGGCATGTACAGCGTCTGCTTTCAAAGCGCTGCAGCTCTTTCAATGTACAACGAGACTAATGTGCTAAAAGGATCCTGGATACGTTGCAGCCTAGCATGTCATAAAACCCAGCGATGCTGTAGTTCATGGGTTTAAAAAGCGGCTTGTCTATGGTAGAACGATCAAAGCGTACACTCATATTAAAGAAAAAAAGACAGCTATGAGAAGCGCAAATGAAGAATTGTGCTTAAGCCTCCATTTGGCTGAATAATTGCCATGCAGGCAAAACGTACTTTAACTTCTCCATTGATCTCTTGAAATGAATGCACTGAATTAATTCAATAATATCTCTGTATTGCACTGATGAAAGCACTAGATTCCCATCCTCTGTTCTTAATTAGCAGCCAGGATGCTGAAGTTGAGTCTGGCCGGCTGGTGTAACTGTGGCCTGCCCTCTGACCTCTCCGTGTTAAGTAACTACAGACTTTCACTGTAGATAAACTATCAGAGAAGCCGAGCTGCGCTCTTTCACCGGCACCACAAAGCAAACGCACTTCAGCTCTGCTGCTTCATGAGCAGTGCTGTATGTCTGCATTTCACTCTATGCAGGTTTTAGGCAATGCTTCAGAAATGAGAATTGCAGACTACATGGAATTGGCACAAAACGAAGCTCATTCTTCTTTAACCTTTGTGTTGCTTTGCATTTTGTCGTTCAGTAATACCAACAGTCAGTGTTTAGTTTTACAAACCCAACAGTTTCATGTCTAACTGGTTGGTAAAAGTAAAATTTTCAGCCTTTTCCGATATACCATTGCTTTTTTCCCCCTCAAACATTTCTTGTAATTAAAACGGGTTTTATGTAGGAATGTTCTGTAATAATGAGTCCTAAGAAGACAAAGAGTCAAACGTGCTTATCTTTATTGCCTTACAAAAACGTAACCATAGTTTCTGCCAAAACAACACAGACACTAATTTCTAGGAAACAAATTACTAATTCTACAAAAGAATGTTTATAAATGACGTTGCCCACTTATTCTTTCGTATCTCTATCTAATGCAAACACGCAGTATTCATGAAAGCTGCAGCAATAGCGATAATAACTTTTTTTGTGTTATGTATATATATATCTTTTTTTTTTTTTGGTAGAGATGGTGTGATCAGGTTGAGTGGCATATTTTCAGCAGGATCATTCACACCTCAGTTGGTGCCGTACTGAATGTTCAGAGGCCTGTTCAAGGGTTAAAACACACTGAATGCCATGCTTCATCATTATCTGGCAATGCAGTTTCTAGATATATAGAGGAAGCCTTATCTACTAGGCACCTCCAATATATCAAAAAGTTTGCTCGTTAAGGTTTCTACAATTTAGGACACTTTTAGGAGATAGCACTACATTTCTGACAGTGATAACATCTCACCCACATGGTATGTGCAGCAGATTAGGAATGGGAATCTTGGGAGGTCAGAATATTGGAGTAGAAAGCTTGTGATACATTGTTCACTCGAAATTTGTGTCTCGTCGGCTTTCCTCTGCTTACGCAGTGTGCTATTAGCGTAGGCCTGTTTTTCTTACCTGACAGCCCATTCATCATGGGCAGAGCATACAGGGAAGGGCTTGTGTAGCGGCTGCTACCTGTGCTTAGATGGCTGCTTTAATGGACTGGATACTGCTTTTGTTGGTCGTCCAAATGTTTGGATTAGGTGTGGAATGTTGACGATTTTGATGAATGACTTTTTAAAGACACTTTACATGTGTGCGATAGTTTTCCTCCGTCCTACAGTGTGAAACAAACAAGTCCCATATGCAGCTTGTCATTGTGCGCTTTGTGTTTCCGTGCAGTCGAGCGGGACAAGGATTTCTCCCATCACAGACGACACTACAGGGAGTTTCGTTTCGACCTGACTCAGATTCCGGAAGGTGAGGCAGTGACCGCCGCCGAGTTCAGGATTTATAAGGATCACAGTCACGTCAGATATGAGAACATCACACTCAAGGTCACCATATACCAAGTCATCAAAGAATATCCAAACAGGTGAGATCTTTCCCCATTTTACACTACCGTTCAAAAGTTTGGACACACTAGAGCCAATTAATGTTCCTTAAATTACTTTTTACAGAATGCAAAATGAAATAAAAGAACACAAACAGCACCTGCAAATAAAACGCCATTGTTAGCGGCCATAATTAATTCTCAGGGAATTCCCCACAACATCTTAATCAAAATGTCTGGATGAGTTGGAGCAGATGGAGCAAAGGAAAAGCAGCCAATAAGTGTCTAATGCATACAGTATGAACTTCTTCAAATCCATTTAATAAGCATCACAGAATGAACCTCAAGAACCTCACTTCTCGGTCACAGCATTATTTCATATTTTCACTTCATAGTAGTAATAAAGAATGAGTAACATGCCTTTTGACAGGTGGTGTAGTTTCCAAAAAAAGATAATGTTTCTTGCTAAAAATCTAAATAGAACATGCCAAAAATACAAACACTCCATCAAGTCTTGCACACTCTAAAGAAATAGATGGGCACCATATTGTGTAAAAAACGTTTTTTGATGTTTTTGAAAAAACGTTAGCTCACCAAGGCTGCATTTATTTGGTCAAAATACAATGAAGGCAGTAATACTGTGAAATATTGTTACAATTTAAAATAACTGTATTCTATTTAACTATACTGTAAAATGTAGTTTATTGCTGTGATCAAAGCTGAATTTTCAGCAGCCATTACTCCAGTCTTTAGTGTCACATGATCCTTCAGAAATCATTCTATAAAGTGCTGATTTGTATGCTTTAATAATATTTTTTACTGAAACATCATACATTTTTTTCAGGAAGAATAGAACGTGCAAAAGAACAGCATTTAAAAAAAAACAAAACAGAGTTGAAAAAGCATCAGTGGCAGTTTTTGCCCCAGAGTAACACGTTGAGTTTAAATTAAACCGGACTTCCAATTAAACCTGTAGGATAGTCTCTTAAAGCTCTGCCTGGTCTGTGAAACACTTTAGGCAGGCAATCAAGCGGGGAAAAAAAGGACATCCTGTTTACACGAGTGAGTCTGGAGTCTGTCTGGAGGTTTCCCTTGTGACGATTTAACTGAATGCATCAGGATGTTTTAAGACTGTAATTTGTCACCATTGAAAGACTGACAGTGGAACACAACGTCTCGGATTAGTCATCTTACTGTTTCAGAAATTATGTGGAAAAAGTTCAATACATTTGGCTAATATTAATGTAACATATTTTGGAACTTGTTCCAAGGAAGATGTTGTGTGACATGATTCAGGAACACGTGTCCCAAGCTTTGCTTTTACAACTACTGTAGGCTACCATATTTACTACAGGATCTATTAATATGTAACTAATATCATTGCTTTTGCTGAATGGGAAAAAATCCAGATGGCAGACTGGTATCTTTATCATTCTGAGTATTCCACAAGAAGATTTACTTTATGGAGTTTTAAAACCAAGGTTGAGGAGGAGCTAGTTCATTTGATCCTGTCAATCATTATGCAAGAGTATATAAACAGCTGCGTACCTCACTACCATGATGACTCTTCCAGCATCCCTCCATCACCCCATCTCCTGCCTTAAATCTATCCATTCATTACTACATTTGTGATTATGTAATCCTCGAACTTGAGCGCTCTGTTTTGCACAGCAAGCTAAATCTGTTCACCTAGCTGGGTTAGTCCATAATTGACCCAAAGTTGGGTTGAAACAACCCAGCATTTTTAGAGTGTATAAACCTCACATTTCAATTCATTGTTCAAAAGATGAGAGAACCAAGATTATATTATAGATATTGAACCTGTTACATTGCTCATGTCAGTGTAGCTCAATAGGGTTTGAGTTAGAATGGTCCTTCTCAACATCTAAAGTATGGGAGGTCCAACCTGTGCCTTTAATTCACAAAGAAAGATTGCATAGTCATTGTGGAATGATGTATGGAAACATTTTTACTATCCTTTTTTTTAGGATGTATCCATCTGGGCTCAACTAAAAGACCATGACATCAGTTCAACTCTGTTCTGTAAGGTTCAGACCACCTCTTGTCCGCTAGGAACGATTTCGCATAACCAGAGCTCACCTGACAAAGCGAAGCAAACCTGTTCTTCCTCAGTCTCACCAGATATGCTTGCTGGTAATGGCCATGGATAAAGCTTTCCATTAACAGCTCATTTGCAACTTCCAGCACTTATGAAAGTCTTGAAAGTCCATCAGTTATCACTCTTTGCGTATCTCGACTGCTTGTCAGAGTGCTTGCACCCCAGACAGGGCCATCTGGCCTTAATAGAGGGCCTCTGCGTCAAGAGACTTCCAAAGCTTCCTAAAAGTGAGTCTGTGCCCACCTGCCTCTTCACGGTTCTAATGGTCTTCTAATCTAGATTGAGAGCCGTGACTTATCTTGAGTCATACATGGGCACACCATAGACAGGGCCTTTTCTCACCATGAATGAATGCAGCTGAAACATTTAAGCGGAGATACGGCTCTCTTGGGGCAATGAAACAGGGGTTTATAATGGATTCTGCCATCAGAGGCCCTGGAACCCTTCCTCATGGCTGTGTTTATGAGGCGTCCATGTCCCACAACTTCACACATTCACTCCTGTGTCCGTACTGTGATTTTCCTGTGATTAGTGGAATTTAGTGTTTCACAGCTTAGCACCCACTTCTTATAGCCTGCCAAAGCTGTGAGTGTTAAAGACATGGAGGTAAATGAAACATAACACCTTTACAAAACAGTGTTGTGGAGGTGCACAGTACTTTGATACCATAATGGTTAGGATTGGGAATAGAGAACCACTTCTTATTCAAAACTAGTTCAATTTATAGTCCAAATTCTTAGTTTCTGTTCAGCAGAGTAAAATCTGAATTTAATGAAAGCAAACGACACAGTAAATAGACCTTGCATGTTTCTAGTGCATTGTCCTCTCTGGCTTTTCGCCGTTTGATGGAGTCCAACTCGCAAGTGTCTCTAATGAGCCGAATTGTTTTAATGAATTGACTCATAAATCAGTCTGAAACTCACGAGTTCACTATTTGTGTGAATCAGTCTGATGACTCACTCGCTGGCTGAATCAGTCTTGACTTTTTCACTGAACCGCAAGTCATTACCTTTGTCATGTCCAACTGGAAATGAACCAAGAACTTTTAATGTGTTATGTTGAACTGAAGGCTCATGAGACTTTAGTGTAATTACCAACTGGTTGTTAACATGGCAAAGTGCAATTGAAGATTAACATTCAGAAGAAATTTGTTGACAGATGGTCCTCTAATAAAAAGAAAATACCATTGTTTTTGTTTAGAATATTTGGTTCAGGACAAATTATTCATGGGTTTGCACTTTTTGAAGTGCTCAAAGAATCGTCAATAGGGGAATCAGAATATTTAACAGATGGCAACACCACAGTACTGTGGAACTGAATGATTGATTTACCATTAGCCATGGTATTCACATGCAACTCCAAGGTACTTCAAAGAATTCCATGATACTTGCTGAGTTCTGAGAACTTGTCTTAGGGTCTGTTTTCATCTCTCCCTGTCTTTTGAGGTCAGTGTCCTGTATATGATGCACAGATCGCCTACTTTATGTCAGTTGTATTGGCTTGGCCACGCCAAAGTTGAAAAGAAAATGAGAATATTGAGTTGTAACAGGGACACAGAATGCGGTGGTGTGCTGCTCTCGCCTTCGTTGCGGCATGCTGGGACGTGCCACTGTCTCTGATCATTTTTCCTGTCTGTGAGATCAGGGCCGCTGTCTCACTGTGTGGCCCATGTGCTGTTTTGGAACGTCAGTTAAGTAGATGAACAGGAATGGCGTGTTGACAAAATTGTGGTCGAGATGAAAAGGAAGGCCTTAAAGAAAATTTGGTTGCACTCTTTTCAATATTTGTTTTTCTATGTTATATTCAACATTGCTAATTAAGATGCAGAATGACTGCAATTAGCAAAATCCAACTCATTTATCTCGGATGCTAAACATGTCATTACAGTTTAACATTCATCTATTTGTGGCGGACAGTGAAATATTATATTCAAAAATATCATGTAAATCACATTGTCATAGTACATTCTTATTGCCTCATTAGGGATGCTGAAACATTTCTCCTGGACTCCAAAAAGATCCGCGCTACTGATGGGGGGTGGCTGGTGTTTGACATCACGGCCACCAGTAATCACTGGGTCCTGAACCCGCAGCAGAACATGGGCCTGCAGCTCTCCGTGGAGACCACTGACGGTAAGACAGGGACATCTGTGCTTTAATTAAGGACACTCACACAGTTTATGCTGTGTCAGAGAATGCATTCAGAGGATGGTACTGGAAACTGGAGTATCAGCGCTGGGTAGATTACTTACAAATTGTAGTCCATTATTACATGATGAAAACTTTAGTTAGTAACGTAATCTTGGTTACTCATTTTAGGTACTGTATTGTGACTACATTTTAGATCCCTTTTTATCTAACTTGTTTTAAACTTACCATGACATTTACTTATATTGACATAAAAATATTTTTTTTGATATCAACATCAAACATTACATTAAAGGGTTAGTTCACCCAAAAATAAAAATTCTGTCATTAATTACTCACCCTCATGTCGTTTCAAACCCGTAAGAACTTCGTTCATCTTCGGAACACAAATTAAGATATTTTTTGATGGAATCCGAGAGCTCTCTGACCCTCCCATAGACAGCAACACAACTGTAATGTTCCCAAGTCCAGAAACGTAGCAAGGAGATCGGTAAAATAATCCATGTGACATCAGTGGTTCAACCGTAATTATACGAAGCTACGAGAATACTTTTTGTGTGCAAAAGAAAATTTTTTTTTATTCACTTTATTCAACAATTTGTCTCCTCTGCATCACCCTGGTGCCATTTCGGAGAATATCCGCTGGAAGTAAAAACGCAGCTGACACAGAACAGCATATGTTGTTTATGTCCAGCGGATATTCTCCAAAATAGCGCTACAGGGTGATGCGGAGGAGACGAATTGTTGAATAAAGTCGTAAAGTCTTAAATACTCACGGCACCGTATCGCCATATGCATTGGCAGTAGCAAGTTCCTGTACTTGCTTGCAGCAGCAGCAATAATCTACAACTACAACAATAACCAACAGCAGCAGCAATTCAGCAGCAGCGTAGCAGATCTGTTCCGCCAAGACCAAATGTATTAACATTGTCATATCCATCACCATGCTAAAATGTTCAGAGAGTTGTCATGATTGAATTATGTTTCATACATGGTCTAATTGCTTGAGCGGTGCGGTTTTCCACCCAAATTCAGAAGCATGATTTGCAGATTTACTTGGATTTTTCTTGGAAATACATCTGAAAAAACGCGGTCGTCTTATATTCAGTGTCTAGACTTTGACATGTCAATAATACACCCACAACAATAGGTGGCGCCAAATACGCATTAAAACGAGTGTGCCATAAAATACGTAATGTAATGCGTGTTGTAAAGATCGCGAGAAAAAACAAAAGAGAAAGAAATACAGCTGCATGAGTCGTGACTGTCACGTTAGCCTGATGGGACCAAACTCCCTTTGTGATTTTAAAACGTAAGACAGTACCCAGATTTGAAGACTACAGTAAGATTTAACTTCTACTGTTCTACAACTTCTACTTGTGAAGGTGGGTCATAACAATTTGAGTATTAGTATTAGTAACCAGGGGTACGTTCCCCAAAAGCATTGTAGGCCAACTATGGTCATGAGTTCCATCAGTACCAACATAGTTCAATGATTTGGTGTTTCCCAAAATCATAGTTCCATTGGAAAACAGCATCACAAAAAATGTGTGGTTGGAAATATAGCTTTCAATCTGTGGTTAAAAGCATAGATTTTGGTAGGCTACTATTAGATGGATAGCCCAAATGTCTTAATTCAGATGGGCTACCTGCTACATGCTCTTCAAAAATGCTGTTTTTGAAGAGCATGCATGTGCTGTAGTGTGATAGTGTGATGTAAGAGGCAACCTGCAATTGAATCACACATCTGGAAATAAAGCAATAAAACATCAGATAACAAAAAGCCCTTAGAATAATCTGGCATTAATTAATTAACTCTCAAACCAATTAATTAACATAAGTTATTACTCCACCTGTGTGGCATCATTTACAACACTTCTATATTGTTGAACCAACGTGGTTTGAATGTCGGATGTATGACAAATTTACTACCGGTTCAGGACTACCTAATTGATTTTTTCAGTGAAGCATTGTAATGCGGTGTTTATGTAGAGAGTTACACCATTGTAGGGGAAACTCTAGATTAAATATGTGGAACTGCGAATGTGGGATGTGTTTTGTATTTAGTGGAGCTTTACAATAAATGCCTGCCAGACTACCATTGCTCTATGTAAATAATGTGTTGGGTAATTTATTGAATGATAAACATTTGGTCACTTTAAAGACAGCGCTACATTTTAGTGTTCTTTCCTGCGTGTGCTTTATTGTTTTGATTATTGCTGCATACTCGTTTTACTGGAAATAAGGACCATGAAATGCAGCTGGTGTTATTTCCATTCACATATTCATTATATTAGCTTAAAAACAGACACGTTTACCAGCGTGAGACTTCACAAAAGTATCATCTTTGAGTCACGACTACGCCCAGTGTTTCCTCTTTCTTAAATGGGAACCTGATGCCATGAAGTTGTCTGCATTTTAGGATCAGTTTTCAGCCCTATCCCTCTCAGTTTGACATGTACACAATCACTACAGTATCTGTGTGGACCATAGAAACTGTCGTACATAGTTGTGTTGATGTTGCTACCCAGGAAGAGGTTTCCATGCCTTAATCAAGGCTGTTTGTCTAATGTTGATCTCTGTAATCGGATGCATACATCTGTTTGATTTTCAGGTAGAAGCATCAACATGAAATCTGCTGGCATCATCGGGAGGAACGGACCTCAGTCCAAACAGCCATTCCTGGTTGCTTTTTTCAAAGCCAGTGAGGTTCTGCTCCGTTCTGTAAGAGCCACAGGAAGCAAGAGGAAGAGCCACAACAGAAACAAAAGCAGAACACAACAGAAATCTTCGCCAGCTCTCAAAAGTGGAGGTAAAAACATTCAGAAGTGCTGTATGCAATGTTTTTCACTTATCTAGCTTCCACTAGACACAGAGCAGCTACAGCTCACTTTCTTCATGCACATACATATTACACAAAAAAAAATTCAGCAGTTTCTTGATCTCACAACAGATCACTGGATCAAACTAATTGAACTACTCACTGGATTTACGAAATGTGTCAAGTTAGTGACATCAAATCTACTAAAGATACTCAAGGCACATTGTAAGAAGGTGCTTATGGAGAATGTTGTGCCGTTATATCCTCCTGAGACCCAGCTATGGAGTTTTTGCCTCTGTAGTGGACATTTTATTTGAGTGAATTTCTCAGAGACGCGACATGTCACAGTTGTAAGTCTGGATGTCCTGTACGGAGCACATTCAGGGCTTTTCAGAGATACCAAATGATTGGATGTTTCACCGTAACCACTCCCTCTCCTTGCTCTTTAAAAATGCCTGACATTAATTTAGTGATATAAGTGTACATCCTTATGGAAATATGATAATATTTTGTAATTACAATTTAAATCTGATTAATTTTCAAATTGTTTGTCATAAATCAACATCTCAGGAATCAGCAGTTTCTTGATCTCACAACAGATCACTGGATCAAACTAATTGAACTACTCACTGGATTTACGAAATGTGTCAAGTTAGTGACATCAAATCTACTAAAGATACTCAAGGCACATTGTAAGAAGGTGCTTATGGAGAATGTTGTGCCGTTATATCCTCCTGAGACCCAGCTATGGAGTTTTTGCCTCTGTAGTGGACATTATATTTGAGTGAATTTCTCAGAGACGCGACATGTCACAGTTGTAAGTCTGGATGTCCTGTACGGAGCACATTCAGGGCTTTTCAGAGATACCAAATGATTGGATGTTTCACCGTGACCACTCCCTCTCCTTGCTCTTTAAAAATGCCTGACATTAATTTAGTGATAAATGATAATATTTTGTAATTACAATTTAAATCTGATTAATTTTCAAATTGTTTGTCATAAATCAACATCTCAGGAAAATGTTATGGGGTTTCAAATCAAAATATGAGCTTCTGTTATGAAACAGGGCATAATTTCATACATGTCTACTGTAGAGGACACCAGGACTAAAAGCATGTTTATTACACATTTTGGGAGACAAAAGAATTGAATAGGAAAGCAAATTATATATCAATATTCTTATGAAATATTAGATATTATTATGAACATCTGGCCAATTACTACTCCCATTATTACACTTCTTTTTTCAACATGCTGTCCCAACAGCACTTTAATATGCAAATTAGATACAGTGTATAGATAACATTGTGCTTAATGGGAAAACCAGTTTATGGAATTTTTACACACATATTGCATAAAGCAAAATGGTATATCAAAAAAAATTGTTATATATTTTATAACATAGTTGAGAACCATACTTAAACAAAGTTAGTTATAAAAAATCCTGAAACCTAAAAATTGATTGGTTATAAATTGGTTTTATTTTTATAAAAACTGAGTCCTGGTGTCCTCTACAGAGGACATAGCATAACATATAAATAAAATATAATTTTTCAAAAATGTTATTTTATCATTTTTGTATTATGCTCTAAACAATGTAATGACATGAAAACATAATAAACTCACAAAGCTTTTTATTACTGGTTCTCAGGAGGATATGATTGTTTTTTTCAAGTGTTTCAGATAAACCATGGCAGGTGAAAACAAAAAGAACTCTGGTTCACATTACTTGTCAGTCAGATTACAGTCATGTCACTTCTTTGCTGTTTACAGAGGCTAGGGCCGCCACAGAAAGGTGTGATTTCCTAGGGTTCCTATTTCAGTAATACCTGTCATATTTTAGGGATATTTTCTGTAGACTATTATCACTTACAACATCGCTCATTTGCATTTAATACGTAGCAGTTGTTTTATTCCACAGTTCTAGATGACTCACATGAGAAATACCTGCTGAGCTTTCCTGATGTTTTCTAAATGTAGGCCCCTTTGCTGCCATCAAATTACTGAGTATTTACTGCATTCAGAGTCTGTATACAAAGACGTCCTGCCAGCTGCAAACATAGAGCACACTGAGCCCACACACACTCCTAGACTAAACAACACGACTACTTCAGTGTTTGAAGGCTCAACCTCCGTTTTGTTGCTGTTATCTAGATCAGAACACCAGTGAACAGAGACAAGCCTGCAAGAAGCATGAACTTTACGTGAGCTTCCGTGACTTAGGATGGCAGGTAAATGCATGCAAGACATCAATCAATTACAAGACTGCACAGCATGATTGCTTCACTCAACCAGAGAATTCATCTCTGTCTGTCTGTCATTTTAGGATTGGATTATTGCTCCAGAGGGCTATGCAGCCTTTTATTGTGATGGAGAATGTTCATTTCCACTCAATGCACATATGAATGCGACAAACCATGCGATTGTGCAGACCTTGGTAAGCCTCCTTCGTGTCATCATAGAGTATTTGTAAAAAAAAAAGTATAGAAGCAGCTCCAAAAATGAGACCTAAAATGGACAGCAGTTTTGTATGATATATATATCAGATATATCATAGCAGATATGTATGTACTGTATGTATGTACATCAACTTTTGGTCCTAGTTCATGTATTTCATGGTAAAATTAATACATTTCATTGTTTAGTTTGAAAGATATTTTTGTTTGATAAACCATTTTTTGTTACTATGTGGTCTCCATTTAAAGTCCACTCCCACATATCATACATTTCTCTTTTTTTTCTCGTCATAGGTCCATCTAATGTTTCCTGATAATGTGCCAAAGCCTTGCTGTGCACCGACCAAACTGAATGCCATATCGGTGCTGTATTTTGATGACAGCTCAAATGTAATTCTGAAGAAGTACAGGAATATGGTGGTGAGGTCCTGTGGATGTCATTGAGGACATTGAGGAGCTTCTGTGTCATATTGCTGGAATAACATATCAAAAGAAATAGTTTTTGACATTTGATGTACAGTATTATGTATATATTAGCTCACGATTCCTCTTATTTATTTGGCTTTGTTTTGTAATAACGTTTTTTAAAATTTTTATATGAGAGATGTAGATGAGTTACCACTCTTTACCACAGATCCATAGCTGATTGCTCTTTCTCTGAGAATATGTTAAAGAGTTAGGCCAGTTAGAGAGAGTTGTACAGGATCAAGTATAATTTCCTTTCTTTAGATTACATGTCAAGTTCATAAGCAACCACTCCAAAACAGAACTGCTGCTATTTTACAAAATAAATGTAAATGCCTTAAACTCTGTCACCTAATCACATTTTTTTTATGTGGGGAAAACAGCCATATTGGATTTTGCAAGCAATTAAACAAACACATTTGACAGCTCAAATGTAATTCTGAAGAAGTACAGGAATATGGTGGTGAGGTCCTGTGGATGTCATTGAGGACATTGAGGAGCTTCTGTGTCATATTGCTGGAATAACATATCAAAAGAAATAGTTTTTGACATTTGATGTACAGTATTATGTATATATTAGCTCACGATTCCTCTTATTTATTTGGCTTTGTTTTGTAATAACGTTTTTTAAAATTTTTATATGAGAGATGTAGATGAGTTACCACTCTTTACCACAGATCCATAGCTGATTGCTCTTTCTCTGAGAATATGTTAAAGAGTTAGGCCAGTTAGAGAGAGTTGTACAGGATCAAGTATAATTTCCTTACATGTCAAGTTCATAAGCAACCACTCCAAAACAGAACTGCTGCTATTTTACAAAATAAATGTAAATGCCTTAAACTCTAAGTCACCTAATCACATTTTTTTTATGTGGGGAAAACAGCCATATTGGATTTTGCAAGCAATTAAACAAACAAATGTTTTTCTTTGTTAACTAAAATTATCGTAGTATTGTTGTAAAAGCACTGAGTATGGCCTAGGACTATACAGTACATATTTCCTCAAATAGCCCAAAGTATTGCAGCCCACACATACTGTTTCATATTAGTTTGCTTTAGGTATCAGTGGGTGGATATGCAAAATATATATATATTTTTTTTTCTTCGAGCAAATATTCTTCTTCCTTATATACACTTGTATTAGTACTCTGAGTAATATATATTTTTTTGGAAAATATTGCATTTATTATTTTAGAACAGTGTTTGTATGTCATTAAATCTATTTTCAAATATATTTTCTGTGTCTGTCTCTACCAGTTGACTCAACACCATGAATTTGCTAGAAAACCTTTTTCATTTTGATCAATATTTGCATGCAAATCTATATTGACCTCGTCTGATCAAAACTTGCCATTTTTTATGAAGTACATGTTTGTCGAATGCCAGAAAATTGAGCGACTGTATTTGACTTAATTGAAACCAGTGGCCAGGGCACCCAGATGTTATGTGGCCCCGATCTAAAAACAGTGTTGACGTCCAATGAATAGCGGAGGCCACCTGCTAACTTAACTTCTAGCGGCGTGGATGATTTGCATTCCTGCGGCCTGCTGCCCTGCATGATTACTCCTGCTGCTTCACAATCCCATCTACTGTTTAATATCATGGATTCCTTCCAATTCCACTAAATGTCTTCCTTTCTACAACACCAGGCCCAGTGTGAATGCTGCTATTTTAAGGAAATCTGTGCCAGTGAGCAGACTCTCTTAGTATAGTAGCCACATAAAAGGGGAAAGGGATCATTCGCCATCGTGAGTATAGATGAATATACTGTCCCGTTCCCTGCGGAGAGCACACATATGCACACGATCGATCAAAGTGAGGCCCTTCGGGTCTATGGACGTTCATTTGACAGGCAACCTCAATGATAGAGTTTACACGGTTAATCTCAGATTTCCATCTGATGTGTATTAACCTGATTGCTATAACCGGATTAGGCCAATATTCTGGTTTCTAGTATACTAAGACAGCAGGAATAAGTTTATGAGAATTTGAATTTTGTGTCGTGATCTGCACATATCCAAATGAAAGTAATTATCAGCGCTACAACTCGAGGTATGTGCAGTTGTGAAAAATCAAGCTAGCCAGATCATTTTTAGAGCAAAAAGGAGACGGATTCTATTACGTTTACTTTTTTCCAGATTAAAGGCTTAACCAGACCACAGAGTTTAATCGGAAAAATGATGTGCGTGTAAACATGCTTGCTGAAATTGTTAACAGAATTTGGATTTTATGTTTTTTGAACCATAAAACTAGGGGACACCCACCGCACCACAAATCTGTGCTTCATTCGTTTAGATTCTAGCTCAAATTGCTGCTCTGTTTCTGATCTTTGACTTCATTGTAGTAATGAGCTTCATATGCTTGTTGTTTTGTGTAGTCAAAGGGGCGATTGTCAATCATATCCCTGTGTTACACTGAAATAAACCCTGGTATGCCTGAAATGAAACCACAACCTACAGTGGACATCACACGAACAGAGCTAAAAATGCAGTTCTTTTGTCCCGTACACATACACATGCACATGCAGTGGAAGGAGACGCATATTAAAATGGTTACACTGAAATAAACCCTGGTATGCCTGAAATGAAACCACAACCTACAGTGGACATCACACGAACAGAGCTAAAAATGCAGTTATTTTGTCCCGTACACATACACATGCACATGCAGTGGAAGGAGACGCATATTAAAAATTAGGAGTGTGTTTCATCTAGTTAGGTAAATATTTAGGACACTACACCCCAAGAGAACACAATCTGAACACGTGCACAGCTTTGTTTAAATGAATGGAAAGCACATGATTTTTAACCCGTGTGACATTAGTTGAAATATGTATCTAAAGGCAAGGAAAAGTTTGTTTTTATTTATCTTTGTGATTCCACACAGTAAAAAATGACTTTTTTTGTTCTGTTTGTGGATCATTCATGACAACAAACAAATTAATGACACAAATAAATAAAATGTCAATCTCTATCATAAAGTATCAACAATGTCATATTTATTTGTGAAATTCTTCTCCCATTACTCTAGCCTATCGCAAGCTAGAACATTTTTCTTTTCTTTTCTCTGGCCTCATAGTTTATTTTGAAAGTGTCCGCTTGCAGTCGGCCCACAACGCTGCTGAAACTTGATCCAATCAAAATGTTTTCGAGTTTACTTTCTTCATCTTTCCACATACCCTTTTTCCAATTTGGGTTTAGTGGGTGGGCTGTAGACCATTATTACAGCTCAATCAGTTGTCCCTGAGCAAGTCAAGCATCTGGGTCACATTTTTACACACTAGTTACCAGGACAAGGTCATGGCTCAGAATACAGAGGATGTGTTCTGAGTCAAATGTTATTTGTGTGTGTGTGTGTGCGTGCGTGCTTGTTTTGGTGTAAAAGTGGTGAGAGAAGTCTTTGTTTGACCCCAGAAGTCCCATTCAATCTGTGTAAAAAGGAACACCTGTACACTACTGCATTCCCAATCACTGCCAGAATGTTTCAGGACTGGACCGTTTTCAGAAGCAAAGAGCCACTGAGCCAGGTCATGCGTTACAGTGATTTTATCATGGGCAATGCTAATAATCTTCTTAATGTGGTATAATCGCTGTAACACACATGCATGACTGGCTTCATAAAACATTAAAAAATCTATTTTATATAAAGAATTCCTCAAACATACTTCTTCAATTAACTGAGCCTTATCTGTCTGCCATACGTGTATGCATATACATATATTGTATAATAAATAGAAATGCTTTTTATCTTTATTAATGTTTGCCATGAACAGGATTTGGAATACTAACATTGCATTCCTAAGCTAGCTTTTCCTATCTGGGAATGAACAACAGAACAATGTTTGGTAACACTTTACTTGAAGGGGTGTGCGTAAGACTGACATGACACCTTCATAATCATGACATGACACCTACATAATCAAGACATGACACGTCATGAATATGAAGGAGGTTGCATGCATGTTTATGACAACTGTCATTAAGTGTCATTCGTTCAGTTATGTCATTTTTAATGCAAATATGACATTATTTGACCTAACCCTACCCCTACACTTACCCCTAACCATAGCCCATAACAAAGACATCTCAAACAACGTCATCTTTGCATTAAAAATTACATAACTGAGTGAATGACACTTAATGACAGTTGTCATAAACATGCATAAAAAATCTTCATATTCATGAAATGTGTCATGTCATGATTATGTAGGTGTCATGTCATGATTATGCACACCCCTTCAAGTAAAGTGTAACCCAATGTTTATTATTATTATTTCATGACTGTGTCACATTTTTCAATTTGTCTGTCAATGAACACAGTGCTACACCATTTTGACTGTGTAAAGGTGGCTATTTGGTTAAATACAGGTGTAACCCAGTGGAATTGGGGTAAAATAATAAATGAGACATGAGTCAGTGATTTGTTAAATGTGTTTATTTTCATATTGTCCATTTTTCCAGTTCTGTAAAAGAAATATTCATTGTTATTGTCTCTTGACGTGTAAAATGTTTGCTTTATTTTATAAAGTGAAAGTTATAGTCTCACCGGGTGTATTGTGGAGGTGCCGAAGAAGAAAGAGATGACGTCGGTGTGGGGAAAAAAAGGCAGTGGGTAGAGAGTGCGAGGAATAGAGACAGTAATATATGAATAACATATTTCTGGGGTGACATCTGATAGATTAGGGTGACTAATTCTTACGAGCTATCGTATTGTATCGTATAAGCGTACATTAATTATTCAGAATGCCAAACATTTCCAAGTCAGTGGAGAACAAACTTAAATTTCTTTAAAAAGATTACAACTATCATAAAACATAGTAGATCTAATGTATTCTTCAGGAGATGCAAATCTAGCTTTATCCTTAAATAAAAGATCCCATGTGTCTGTGACCCTTTAGCATTGCATCTTGAGAGTAAAGCCATGGCACCACAGACAAGAATCATTTCAAAAGGGCAGGCAGACAAAAATATTACCCCACATCCCTTGAGGAAGGGTTCACGTTTTCCGCATTGTTTACTTTCCCTCTCATGCTCGTATGTTTTCACTGCATATTGGAGTTGAGAAGGGACTTTCCATGGAATTCTCTGTGCCACTCTCTTAAACTTTTAGTCTTAGTTTCACGCAAACTCCATCAATAAATTTGGTGGTTCACACTCAGAAAAGCCCGTGTGCAGTTGAGCTGCACGCTACATTTCATTCAAAGAGGGCCGTATATTATTTTGAAGTCAAAGCTGGCCGACTGATTAATATTTGGTTTAAATAGTTTAGCATGATCAGGAAAGAACCTTTTCTATAGAGAATTACTTTCTGCACACCTTAGCCGTCAGCAGCTGTTTTTTTTTTCTTTTTCATTTTTCACTTTGCTCCTGTAAATGGAGTGCTGAAATATATCTGAAACCTTTTTGA